CGTGGATGAAAACAGGGACATTTTATCAAAAATAATTAATTAATGTCAAGTTTTGTGGGGCGTTTGAGTTTTGAGTCTTTTCCCAACAAACTAGGTCCACATGGGCACATATATATATATATATATATATATATATATATATATATATATATATATATATATATATATATATATATTAGGGCTGTCAATAGATTATGTTTTTGAATGTTGTTGTTGATAACGAATTCTTGTTTTTCTTCTAAAGACTAAATCTTAAAACACTAGATAGTGTATTTTGGACACTATTGTTTAATTGTTAAACTTTAAGTGGTCCGTTCGCCACTCACCCTCCTTCTGTTTGACACGTGGAGTAATTCCTCTGCACAGTGCTGTATGTCGCACCACTGTTTGTTTTACTTCCAAAGCAAAAAGCTCTCTCGTCGACGTAACGGACTGCAGCTAGTGGACGTTTCATTTCTGCGGTCAACTTCCGGTTCACTTCCGGGACCAAAAAAAATCCACCAGCCACCATCGGTAATTTATCTGTAGGACCAGAGGTGTCTACCCCTGAATGGTCAGTAAAGAGAATGCAGCTTTTAAGGCACTTCTTATCTTATCGGAGGTTGCAGCCTGGTTCCACAAAGCTGCATACATGTTTGTGCTCTTCATTACTAACCCAGCCTCTATATCCAGCAGCTTACCCCCCCCCCCCTTATGCTGCAATCACACCAAAAGCTCGGGTGAATTTCACTGACTCCTCCAGGAAGTGCGTCTTGCGATTTATTCGCTTCGCTCCTTCCGGGCCCGTTAAGAATTTGCTTCCTCCACAACCATTTGCGTGCATTGACTTTTGATAGAAGCTACTTGCGTGAATACAGTAATCCCTCGTTTATCGCGGGGGTTACGTTCCGAAAATGACCCGCGATAAGTGAAATCCGCGAAATAGAAAACTTTTTTTTTTTTTACAATTAGCAACTATTACATGTATACAAATACAGTGACTCGCGTGTAGGCCGTTTCACTGCTCTTCAGACTGGGCCGCTGCATCCTGACTGCGCTCTGCAGTGTTCTCTTCTTCTGAAGCCCGCGGTGCAGGTGTGTTTGTTCGGGAGAAGAACATAGTGATAGGCAGCTGTTGTCGCTCTTTTTTCTTCTTTGCAAAAAGATCCTTGTACACCGACATGCCACCATCGATTACGTTGGAGAACTGTAATGAACGGCTCGGGAGTGAGTTTTTAGCGAATCAGAATGCAGAGCACAATGCACCAAAAAAAAAAAAAATGCAATATGAAAATCCGCGAAATAGCGAATCCGCGATAAGTGAACCGCGAAGTGGCGAGGGATCACTGTAATTCGCTTTTGGTGTGACCGCAGCATTAGAAAGGCCATCTTATGTTAACGGAGTGAAGCTGCCTCGCATTGACCTTCTTTTGGAAGCCCAGGCTCGCGTCAACGGGTGAAAAGCGGGTTGGGATCATCTGCATATTCTTTTGATCTGGCATCGGGCTCTTGGAGCATCCGTCAAGTTCTCTCGACGCGGTGGAGCTCTCTCGACTCCACCACATGCCCCCTTCTCCGCCAGGGTCCTTCACTCCATCCCAGCCGCTTCAAAATCCTCTACCCTGCTGCCGCCCTTCTCTTCAAAGCCGCCCGAAGTTGTGTGGAAAGCCAAAACCACTTTTGTCTGTCCTTCACCGGAAAGCTGATGTGTTTGTGTCTGCGCAGTGTTGCCCTTTGGGTGGGTTACCTCCACCCCCTCCATCTCATCTCTTCTCCTCCCTCACCTTGCTGTTTATCCGTCTCTGGGCTCGTCACATCCCTGAACCAGCTCTAATTAGCATCCCACGCAACACTGTTTATTTACTCCGGTACCGGGAGAAGGGGAGGGAAGCGAGAATGAAAGTGAGAGAGTCAAAAAAGGGGAGCGGAAGAGACTGAGAAAGCCAGGAAGAGGGAGAGAGCGGGAGGGCTGTGAACAGGAAGAGAGGGAGAAATGGTTCAGAGAATCAAAGATCCATGAGACTCTCTCTTGTAGGGAATTCAGAGGGTAATGATGGTTAAAAAGACATGATGCAAAAAGTCGAGAAATTGAGAGAGAAGTTTCCCCGCCTCTCCACGCCTGCTCTCTCTGCCTTTTCCAGCGTTTCATCTGAGGGCCTAAAATTAGTGAACTGGCAGCTTCCTTCCTTCCCCTCCCTCCCCCCAGTAACGTTCTCCCGTGCGTTGAGTGGGTCGAGGTTGCGGTGGTATCACAGGGAAGTGTGTGTGTGTGTGTGTGTGTGTGTCTTGATGCAGTGGTACGTCTTGTCATTGCATGAGGGGGCAAGTAAATGAACAAAGAGAGAGAGAGCTTTGTCTAAATGGAAGGTCCTCTGTGGTGTGTGTGGTCAAACTACCTAAAGCCTTTTGGTATTAAGTCTTATGTCTCTTACCCTACTTCTTGGTTCCTATGTACCACGTCAGGCATTCTTGACGACCACCCAAGATTTGAGGCAGGGGCATTCCTCAAAACAACTAGTTGGTAATGGGTACCATGGAAACGGTGAGGGAGGATAAAAGTGCCATATTTTGTCTTTCCTCACCGATACTTGTTGTTGGTCCGGTTCAAACAAAGAAGGTATCAACGTAGTTGTCTAAACAATAAAAAAAGGCACTAATTTAATTCTTCAGTGAAGTAGGATTACTTCTCTACTCTAGATAAAAAGTGGGTTCAGACTTTGTTTGATAATCCGTCAAGTTACAAGTCTACTCATTCGACAATTATCTGACTGCTCCATTGAATCCCAATGCTCCCTCTTAGCAAAGGGTTAAGTGTGACTTGACCTTGTGCGTGTCTCTCTAGATTTCAAACGCAGGGGTCTTGTGTTGGCTATTGTTGTGTTTTTTTAGGGCCACGAGGGAGACCAATTGGTCCAAATCCACTGGTTACTTCAGGTCATTATTTGATTTCTAGGAATGTCATTCCATGTTGAAATATGCCTTGCTGCCATTTAAAAGTAAAGACAACAATGGGACTAATTGTTAGTTTCATGTTCCACCGTGTGTCCTACATTACATACATCTGAGCTCACTGTGTTTTATCTGCATGTGTAAATGTTGCAGGGTCACCTTACATGTCATGCTCCACCAGTTTCCCCTTTCTTTCAGGTGTTATCTGCTTCTGTAGCAATCTTACCGGCTCGTCATCATTTCCTTCCTTGTTCATGTTGGTCAAAGCAGAAATCTAGATGCGGCAACCAGCACATTTCTGAAACCAAATATTACACAGTCTGTTTTTTCACAGAACTTGAATTCAGCAGATTAAAGGGCCCTTTCTCACATGCTGTCACTTTGAATGGTGGCATAGTAAAGTATTCCGAAATGGTCCCTTCTGTTTTGATGGTCTAATCAAGAGCATTGAAGTTATATTTTAATTTTCAGTAACTGTTGGTTCTTATTCCGTATTTCCAAGCAGCATCAGTCGTCACCTTCCTGCCCCAACAACCGTCATCCCTCGCTCTTACTTGATTTCCTCCTTCCCTTTCTCTGCCGCTCTTTAGTGCTTCAGAAGGGTCGAAATGTCGTGGCGGATGGAAAGGTCAGGTAAAGGTTTAGTGTCGAGCATGGCTAACGCAGTGCCGGCTACCCGAGGTGGGAGGAGCGCGTTTACACTCAAGACCTTGAACACACGCAGTCAGACACACAGCTGTCACCTCCACTCCACGTCGACGCCATTCAGCTCTGAGCCGGCAGCCGTGTGTGTGTGTGTGTGTGTGTGTGTGTGTGTGTGTGTGTGTGTGTGTGTGTGTGTGTGTGTGTGTGTGTGTGTGTGTGTGTGTGTGTGTGTGCGTGCGCGCATTTGGTTCATCGGCGAGAATAGATGATTTAGGATGTTAGTTTCCTTGATGCATGGTGGGGTCAGAGGTCATTGGTTGTCATGGGTTTACATCATCCTGCCTTCAAAGAGCGTTGATTTTTGCTGAGCTTCCAGCTTTTCTGCAGTGTCTACTGAAACAGGGCCTTTGGCTGATTAGATTCAAAAGAAAGTGAGAAGTGAGTCACTTTTTATACATTTTCTTTCTATTTCAATGAAAGCAAAGGAGCCTTGGTCTCAGTTATGCATATTTTCAAAGAGGAACGGCAGGTTAGCAGTGAGATTTCTATATCGATTAATCTACATCCACATGCAGGGCAGAGCAGCGGGACCCTAATTGGAATGGATTTCTCAGTTGCATTGATTTACTCAGGTGACAGTGGATGACATACGACTGTGTGTGTCTGTGTATGTCTGTGTGAGCTGATGTGCATGCCAGGAATACCATATCACGCTGTGATGTCCTTTCTCTTAGTTATTTATTTATTTTTACTGTTGGTTGCGCAGTGAAAGGGTAAAAGCAGCAGTTTGATGTGACCAAATTGCCAGCTATTGTGTGTGTGTGTTCACCATTTCTAACTCTCCTTGGAACTCTCATTCAGCAGAGCTCTGGGATGAAACAAGGACCTCTGCAAACAGTGATTTCATTTTCCCCATGACCGCCTTTGCTCCAGACCCCTTGCTCCTGTGTGTGTGTGTGTGTGTGTGTGTGTGTGTGCGCGCACATACGCACACACGTACACCTTAGGCTGGGGAGCCAAGATGAGCAGTTAGCATGCGTGCAGGAGGACGCAATCAAGCACAGATAACGCTTAAATTCACTCAGGAGTAAAAAACAATTGGAATGATCAAATTCATTCTTTGACTGCATGACTTTCCTGAATGTCCTTTTTAATTGTTGTTTGAATAATGGGCTGAAAATTGAGATTGAGATATTTTATTTTAAGTACCTTTCTCACTCACTCAGGTTGACTAACGTACTGTGTTTGTGTGTGAGAGAGAGGGAGGAGGTTGGTGAAAGATGGCCGCTGGACATGGCTTCTCACAGCCGGCTGGCCCCGACCCCCCGTCATCTGCCCTCTTATCTAGCCCAGATCCTGGCCTTTCATCTGGGCTAAAACCTAGGGGAGATTGGCCTCTGATGGGGTTTTTTTTGGCCCTCCCTCCCTTACACACACACACACACACACACACTACTGCTTCATTCCAGACCCCCTCCATCTTTAGGCTCTATCTTTGAGTCCCAGATGAGCATTGCTCTCACCTAGAAGGGAGATAACAAATCCCACACTACTCTCCTCCCTGCTCTGCTTTCCTCAAAACTCTTCACATTTGATCCCCCCTCCCCAAACTCTAGTAGAAGAGAAACTCCTTCTTGTCCACTGTTGTGGGAGCAAATGAAGGACCCTGCAGTAGAAACAGTCGAGGGGCCAAAGCGAGACAAAACCGGATTGGTGAATGCATCAGGGATGCTACCACAACACGGCGCTCTGCATGTTTCTGACATTTCACAGAGTGCTGCGTCTGCCTCTCACTCAATCGCACCGCTGGCCAACAATAGGCAGGTTGTTTTGGCTGGTCGGCCCTAAGCGTTCCATTCCATTCCAGGTGGGTGCCTAGTCCGTCCCCACACTGCCCTCGTGCTCAACCCTGACCCCTTTCCAACATAAACAGCAGATCCTCACCTCTCACCCTTCTGGCTTTACCTGATAATCTGTCTCTGTGGATCACCCCCACCTTGTTTTTCTTTTTTCCCTCTCTCTCTCTTGGTGTCTCACATTCTCTCATGAGCTCGTTCTTTGTGTCACCCTTGCCCTGACCTCTGACCCCAGTCAGATCAGAGCGTGGCAGATTGAGTAGCATCTGTGACCTCCCTGGGCATTTCTCCCCTTGCCCTTCTGCGGTATACCCGTCACATTCAGTATGTACCAGTTGGCCAGACCCAGTCTTGAAGTGGGCCTGTTATACGGGGAGAATATTCAGACACCTACATCCTCCGATTTGATAGATTAAGTTTACTTTTTGCCCATTTATCTACACACAGAAACCCTTCATTACAAATACAAGAAAGAAATTATAGCTTGAATTTCTTTCTATTGCACACAAGTTAGTTAGGTCAACATTATGTTCTTGTGTTATTCTGAAGATACTGCATCCAGAATACCCGAAGTAAACAAAGTTGCGTTAACTGCGTTAACATATTTTATCACAGTAATCTCGGCCACATCAATTCCATTGACTCGTTAATTTTGACAGCCCTACTGAGAGCTGAGCACTGTAAATGGTCATTTGTTTGGCTTTTAAAAATACAGCTGGAATAGATTCTTATATTTCCATTACTAGATGTTAAGCCGCATCACAGACTTTTGCGTTCTTTGAACTGTCCCTTTTTTTGGAACAGTGTTAGAATGACCGATTGGAAAACGCAATTACACCATCTTTATGTAATGCTAGCCTTTGCATTGGATTTGACCACAGCGTCTTTGGTTTTCTCCTGTCTGAGTCTATATCATCAGGTTTAGAAGCGGGTTTACAGGGCCGGCTGTCAAACTTTCCAGCTCTCTAGATTTCTTCCCGACAGTTGGTCTCTTTCCTCTGCTTCTCATCGGAAACGAAAGCCAACCGGAGGGAGCAGAGAAGGATGATGACTGGGCGAGCTGACTCTCACTGGTACATAACAAATGAATAACGCCCTTTTCTCTACCATCTCCCATGCAACTGGACAGTGCTTTTTATGTTGATTATGCGGATAGAAGCGCGCTGAGATTAACTCGATACAATTGAGTTGGTCAAACATAACTTCTTAGTTCTAAAAGAAAGCCATTCAATCAAATGGAAATCCTTTCCATGATTTTAAGTCAAAGAATAAATATTAAGTGCAAAAACACTTACACATATAAAGAAACCTTTTATTATGTGGTTGAGGCAAGTTTATTTACATGTAATTCAAGCTGACACTTTTATCCAAAGCGACTTACATTGCATTTACATTACATGTCATTAAAGTTGACGCATTTGCATCGCATTAGAGGGTTTACATTTTTAAGCTATGGTTACCCATCCCACACAGTGGGAGCAGTTTAGGGCTTGGGTGTCCTTGTCAAGTACACTTCGACATGGGACATGAAGCAGCCAGGGTCCAAACCGCCAACGCTGTGGTTCCCAACGCACCCTCTCTACTCCATGAGCCACGGTCACCTGTTTTGTATCCCCCAAAACATTACAATGTTTTATATTAACCACAGGTGTTAAAACGTGAACAGACTAACATCTGATCTTGAATATTTAATTTCCATAAGATGAGGATGCAGATATTTTGCTTACCTATGTGTAACGAACACTGATAGAGATTTCGTCTTCTCTCAATATCTCATTGGGGCTTGTTCTCTTGATGATTACCGGGATCTTGTGCAGAAATGCAAATGCAGAGTGCACCTCCACATCCCCTCAGCCAAACAAAACCAAAACAAATATTAAAACAAGAATGTGATGAGCCATATACTGCCTCTATTTTTTGACTGACCTAAAATTCCAACTGACCTAACAACGGAAAGCGCAACCTTTACTAGCAGCAGGTTGAACATATAAAACATAAAAAAACACATGGGAACTTGGCAAATCTAATTTAGCTAGACCATCACACATTCACACAACACTCTTTGGGGGATAGCAGACACAGGCCACTCTTGCAGTGGGATGGTGCAGTCAGTGAGGTGGACCAGTGCATTGAAGTGAAAATAAATTACATTTCAAGATACAAGTTCCGATTGCTTAGGGGTAATACTTCGAGGCGAGACTCTCTAGAAACCTTACAATTTAATTCTGCCGAGTATCGATTAATCTCGAGATTTAATATTCTCTCTGTGACTTTCTGCTATTTGTAAAAACACAGCATATTTGTAAAGATTCATCACGTAAATAAAAAGATCAATTCAATATTATTAACAAATAGAAATGTTACCTTCAAGTTAACAAATCTCGTCTATCATTGGAAAGAGAATCAATCGGAAAATAAATAAAATCGGGCAGCAGAAAGAAACGGACAGTCAAAGTAAATGTTTCACACCTAACGGACCATTTTAGCTAACGTTAACATCCCAACACAAATTCACTAAGTATTGAAATAATTATCATATCGTTGATTTAATGGTGTCAAACCAAACTTTCACTTTTTTTACCTTTCAGGCTAATAGTTTTCATTATTAAAGTTAACTTTGTCTTTACTAGAGTCTGGAAAAGGATGCTAATGATAAATTAGCTGTGTGCCGCTATTGGCCTTTTCCGGACTAGCTAACTTATGTCCTATGTTTCAGTAAAGCTAAATGACGGCAGTATTATCCCTAGTTAACAAAATGTATGCTAAGTCATTTATTTTTATAAGCGTTAGCTGACCGTTCACATTGGCAGGTTATGTGGCAGGTTGCAAAAAGGAGACAACATAATGTTATCTAACGCTAACGCGGCATAGCTATCCATGCACATGGGGACTGTCGGCTTTTTTAATTTGGTCGAAAATAACACTAAATAACAAATAGCCTCAACAGAACAACTCAAGATATAAAGACATTAATGCTCATATAATTGTTTTACATTTAGACAGATGGCGATGGATTTCTGCTAACCTTTTCCATGTGCAGGGCCAACGTGTATCTTCTTTATCTGGTTGTGAAGTTCATGCAAATCCTACATGACTGAATCACGTTCACATTGGAAACATGAATTAATATCGTTCGAAATACATGTTGCACTAAAGTAAATGTAACAACCAGTCAATATCATTTTTTTGAGTGTAGTCATAATGGTCATCACAGAAACTCACCTACTGTATTAAGAGTACCAGAAGGGGTGAGGAAAGCACTTTCCCTGGAGTTGGACCACCAATTCAATTCATTTTATATGATCCAAAATCGCAAATTACAAATTTGCCTCAGAGAGCTTCAGATTGTATACATCGCTCAAGAAAAACTCTTCACCCCACCAGTATTGTATGAAGCATATAATATATTGATTGCAGCCAAATCAGCAGAATAACTTTTTCAGACTCCCCCAATCATTACAATATTTCTTGGAAGTGCAGAGCTCCAGATTTATTAAGAGCAGAATCTGCGTTTTATAAAATCCTAATAAATACCAAACCCGTAAATCTCTCTTGATTGCACAATTTACTTTTTTTATGCTAAAAATGAAAACATCCTGTACATAGAAAAGTGGACAGGGGAAGCAGGAGTGGGGCTTTTTGAGGTTGCTTGGTGGGGAGTTTTTCTCTCGTCATTGGTACTAATCTAAATCCATGGATTGGAACACTGCTGTAAAAATAGAAGATATTTTCAGACCCCATACCAGGAGACATATATGAGTTTAACATGTTGGAGACAATGTGGCTCATTGGAGGCAAATAATTTCCACCTAATTTGGGACGGTCTCACACAGTTGCTATATTGGAATGGTACTCACAGTTCAGGCACTGTATTTACAATGACAAACTTGGAGACTATCTGGGCTTTTGTTTTTTAAACCAGACCAAAAGCTGTTGCAGGCCCTTTGGAGGCAAGTAGTAACAAAAATCACCAGAAACGTGGTAAATCCATTACCACATTCACTAAAACATATGTCCAGAAACATTTTGGAAATATTCAAAAGTGGAAAAGTAGACTTTTTGTTTAAAGATCCAAACGCCAAACTCTCTCAAATTTAGAATAACTTGATGGAATGTATCCAAAAACGCTCCTGTAAGTGCAAATGAAGCACTGGCAGTTTTAGCCCACAGGGACAGCAACCCCGAAATACTACTTTCTATGCAAATGAATTTGTGCATGTAAATAATGAAATTGGAAAAGGTTTTATGTTAAAAAAAAGAAATATATATGTATCTCAGACATATTTTCTCCAAACTGCAAGACTCAGTTTTCCAAATATACTTTAGTTTGGTTCAAAGTTTAAGCCCAAAGCTTAGCTGCTCTATGTTGAGTAAAGACTTTGAACATGGTAAAAGAACCTTTGAACCTGCTGAAGATCTGTTTGGTAACGTCGGTAGTACAGTTGCACTTGTTGACAAATTGTTGTAATTGGTTGTAATGTTTGCTGCTTAGTTCCTCCTGTGTCTTCCTGTCCTTGCTTCCTCCTGCTACAGTCGTGCTGCCATCTGTATGTCTGAGGAAACACATGCGTATGCAGACGCTCGAGATGTAGCAGCAGTATATGATAGAAACCATCTGTGTACATGATCAGATTAGACGTGAAATCACCTTCTGGAAACAAATTTACATAGTAATGAGAAAACTTGGCAGGAGAAGATTAGTGTTTTCAGTGCTTCCTGCATTCTTGAATGATCGGGGTGCATTCCATTTTTATCTTACTGTCTAGCATTGACTGCATTGATTAAGTTACAATCTTAGCCTTCTTCGAGTTCAAACAAGACATGCTTCTCCATCACTATTCCTTCTTTTCCAGCTGGAATAAGACAAAGGGATGTATTAAAATGGGTCTTGCTTTTTTGTGGAGCTACTTGGTTTCAGGTGACGTCTGCTGATCATCTGTGACAAAAGGATTATGGGCCTACTGGTTCTGCTCCTCCAGCTGTTGATACGCACAGTTTTTTTTTCTCCCTCGTGTCGAACTGTAAACTTTCACATGGTAGAATGAATCGCCAAGCGCTTTATCTCCACCCCAAACTCCCACTTTCTGTAGCTGCGTGAAAGGCCCAGAGGAACCCACATCCCACGGTGTTATTCCACTCGGTCTTCAGCCAAAGTCACAGTCAAACTGGAGTCAACTATCCACACAGAGGAGGAATACCTCCAGTTATATGGAGTCGTAATGCAGTAGGGGTACTGTATAAACAATCTCTACGCGCAGAAACACTTCCAGCTGTTAAACAATAGGCCGTTTTTAGAGTCTTATAAAAGCGTAAAGCTTTTTGCTCTATAACTAATATAGAGGTGGTGGGGGCAGAGGGGTTATGGACAATCTCTGTTGTTGAATATCTGCCTTTGTGACACCTCCAGATTGTTGCACTTAATGCTGATTGTTATTACAGAAGTTTGGTCATAATGTGAAATTCAAACTTGACAAGCTGTTTACTATTGGGCCCTTTGATACATTCCCCTGTAATCTCTCCCTCCTTTTGAACTCAAGATTTAGCATTGATACAAACGAAGGGAATTCTGCCTCTGTTATTAAAGCCATACCTGTGGCTTTTGATTGATGGATGGAAACTGTACGGTAAATTTATATAATATAGACTTGTTTAAAACCTCACCCTGAGGTTATAGTGACCCCAAAGACTTCAGTAGTATTTTGTATCAACACAGTCAGAGTGGCTATCCACTGAGTGGAGAAGCCTCATCCCCATTGGATAACCATGAACCGTTATTTTTTTAAAGGGATGATAGAGTAAATCCAGGGCTTTTTTCAGGGGCATCCTCCTTGCCTTCGGCCAGGTTGCAGTGGTGTTCTGTGGAGGGGACATGAGGGGAGCCCCTCTTCATCTAGTACAGATCCTGCCGTTGGGCATCTTTCATGCTCCACTGGCTGATCCTTCCAGGAAGTGGGAGGGGGTGGGGGCTATAAGTAGTGCAACCCCCTCTGCAGAGCCCAAGCTTGTACCACGACTAAGAGCCCAAATCAAAGAAGGCAGTTTGTCCTTAGCCTGGGGAAGAGTGGGTCTGCTGTGTGAGACCAGAGAGACATGGCTAATAGGACAGCTTGTCACACTTGTGCAGATGCCTGTATGACATTGCGTTGGCTTCTCATGCTTGAGTTGCACAGTAACAACACCATCAAAAGAAATAATCTAAAACTATGATCATAGTGTGTTGGAATATTAGCAGTTATTTTTAAACCGGTTTGTAAACTGGTTAGGGCCAAATTTGAAATTTAAAGCTATATGGTGTCTTTGCAATATCTAATGAAACAGTTTCTTTTGTGATTCTATTTCAGTTGGTAGCCAGTGAGTCCAGCCTTTCAGATGAAGAGCCTTCAATACAGGAGCATCGCCCCCAAGGCCCCGGCCGTGGTGCCCTCCCCCTCCCCTGCGGTCCTGTCCTGCCAGCCCCCCTCTTCCCTCCCTGAGGCTACCACTGCCACCAGCCCAAAGTCCATCATTGTGCCCACCCAAAACTATGCACTGATGCAAATTGCAGGTCAGGATGGCACATTCTCTTTAGTGGCGCTGCCCCCTTCTGTGGCCTCTCAGACACCACAGCAACAACAGCAACACACCCAAAATAACCTGAAGTTGCCAATTCCGAGATACCAGCCAGTGAGGAGCAAAGGGACTACAGATAAGGTCAAGTCACCACCACCATCTGCTAGGGTTAAAACACCCTCCAAGGTTGCTGTGATGGCACAAACCAAGTCAGTTGTCAGTGTGGCATCAACAGTGATGAAAAAACAACAACATGAGTGCAAGCACACAAAGGAAACACTTGTGCCCAAAGAGGAGCCTTCAGAGCAAGTTCTTCTGATAGACCCAGCCTCTTCTGACATCTCTGTCACTGCTTTACTCCCAGACAATGCCGTACTTTACCCGGGTTCTCAGTTAGAGCAAGGACAAGATGCTTCTGAACGACCTGCTCTAACTAGTCTCATTCAGAATCTCCAGTATCCCCCAACTGCTGTCAATGGTTCACCAGGAAAACCCCAGGAGGAGAGTAATACCACACTGAGGCTGTGCCAATCTAAGTCCGCTGCAGCCCAGTCGTCGAGCAGTATCACTGTTCTGTCCTCAGCCATCTTTAGCAAAGCAGTCCAGATTATCCCGTCTCCACCTAAAGGTAAACTGGCCATTATGCCCTACTCTAAAATGAAGAGCACCCTTATTCCTGCTGCAAAGCTCAGCAATTTATCTCCAGAGAAGAAGGGTTTGTCTTGCCCGACTGGATTTACCAGTTGTACCTTAAAACCTTCATCCGAGCCCCTTGAAACTGCTGACACCTTGGGTCACAACCAGATGCCAAAATCAACTCTACAGCACCAGGCCAAGATCACATTCATGCCTGTATTGGGAACCCTCCAGAAACCGCCTGGCAAGAAGAGGGGGAGGAAGAGAAAGACCATGGAAGACATCTTGGCATTTGAGGCAAGAAAGAAGAGGTCTTTGTCTTTCTTCCGTAGAAGGGTCCCAGAGAAACCGTCAGCAGTTGTTCCAGGCTCCGAACCAAAGGAAGTTGATATTTCAAAGAAGTACCGCAGCATCCGACCCAAGCCCATTTTGGTTATGGAGACAGTTTCCCAACTGGTTAATTTGCCTGCTATTACACCAGATGGCCAGGAACAGGAGCTTGTTCTTGGTCATCAGCTCTCCACCACTACCACAACCAAGCCCCTGGACTGTCCTCCCCAACCAGCCCCCGTAGCCCTCCACCTGAGAGGGACCTCCCATTCGCGGGTGTTCATAGGCAGCCGTCCGCTCCATCGTTGCCCCACCTGCAGTCGCTGTTTTCAATTCAAGCATCACCTCCAGAGCCACATGAACAGCCACACTAACCAGCGGCCCTACGTCTGCCCAGTGTGCCGCAAAGCATATGCTCACTCCGGCAGCCTAAGCACCCACATGAAGCTTCACCACTCTGAGGTACGCCCACGCCGCTCCCTGAGCTGTGAGTTCTGCGAGAAAGCGTTCGGATACGTGGGGGTTTACTTCAGTCATTTGAGAGAGGTCCACAAGGTGGTTCTGACCGTGGAGCCATCCATCAGCCACCATGAGGATGACCTGTCTTTGGAGGGGTGAGATTATGGATTGAGCACCTACTACCTTGTGCATAATTGCCAACTCATCGATTTAATGTTTAAATAAATTGAATAGTTGCTGTACTTTTTCAAAGCAGTTTTAACTAATTTGTATAAAGCATTCGTTGTTGTTTTACTCACAAGGGGCAGCTACCCAGAGCCATCAGATGAGCAGGATCGCGAAGACCCTGTGGAGCTGCAGATTAAATGTGGCCGCTGCCAGGCCATCACTCCGACTTTTGCTGACATGAAGATGCACTTGCTGTATGTTCATGGGGAGGAGGTGCAAGTCCCACTACATGATGACCAAGTTCGAGTTGGCCGAGAGGCTGAGAATGAGCTAGTAAAGCATGCTGCCCACTACTGGCGACAGCTCAACGAGAAGCGCAACCTGGTCAAGTGCGGCAGCTGCGATGAGGAGTTCATTTCCTTCTCAAAGCTCAAGAAGCACATCATGTCCCACCACCGTGGAAGGGAGGGGGTGGACAACGAGAGCCTCTCATCTCCAGATAGACGTGGAGGCCTTGGAATCCTTGCAGCAGGTGCAGCCTTTAACTGTGTGCTTTGCAGCGAGATGTTGGACAGTAAAGAGGGTGTTATGGAGCACTGGAGGAGTCGCCACCACTGTGAGCAGCCCAACCTTCTGTGGGAGGCATTAAGCTCCTACTCTGGTCAGGAAGAGGCAGAGCCGGATGGGGACCTGGACACTCCTGCTCCGAGCCCACACTATCCAGCCTAGCCCTCACATGGCCATTGAGCCCTTTACAAGGACTCCTCCTCCTCACACACACACGCTCATCACAGGGAAGGAGAGTTTCTGTTATATCTTTTATCACTAAATCTTTCATCTCTCACCAGTTGAGGCATTTGGCTTGGTGCTGAAATAAAAATGAAAGGGTAAAAGAATGTCAAGCCAATGGTGAAAATTGATCTTGTGTAGTATAGATTCAGATTTTATATTTAATATTATTTGTCACGTTTTTGTTTTTGAACATTTTGTTTGAAAGTATTTAAAATTGTTCGATCATTATTTTCTACTGCTTATTTAAATGTTTTAAATGACCCAGTTAATACCTAGCTGACATAGTAATACTATTAACGTGTAATTTCTCCCAAATTCTCACAGTATCTAGAAATGCAGATAATGTAGTTTCACATCATATGTGGGTGCCACCCGTGGTGGTGAGTCTACACCAACAAAGCCTCCTGTCACCATGTAATGATGTATAAGTCTCAGTCCCCAAGTCTCAGTACAAAACCCTAACCCTTGAACGGTGGATCGAGGGACGTGCTGTTAGCTCTCTTTGCTCTGAGGGCTGCCAGTTTAGTAGTGAGTACTCTTTGAGTGGTAGGTCACTAGAGTAAGTTAGTCATTTGAGGCTTTAGTGCAAGACTGCTATTGTGACCGTTCAATTCACATGTGTTTTTTTATTTGCAATGCCAAAAGCGAAGCAAATTATTCGCGCGAGTAGATTCAATGCACAGACGTGACTGTTGCGGTGTGCGGCGATGGATGATGCCCTGAACCCAAACACAAAAGTGTCTGCCGTTCCAACGTTTGTGTAATTCACACAACAAATAAAGAGCAGAAATAGTAGTTATTTATTTCCATGGTGGATAGCGGAAATTATTATAACTGTCTTTACGGAAATATGCCACACCACCTTGCGAATGAAGTGAACAAAGGAGACTCTAATGAAGCGAAATAACTAGTCGGGCGAGTAAAGTGTGGCGAAAATTCGCTTTGCTTTTGGTGTGAACGGAGCATAAGAAGAACGGCAGATTCCACCCAATCCTAGTCCTGGCGGGCTAAATGCGTTTTTAACGGTTCTGCCCATACGAACGTTGCATATGACAGATGTTTTCCAGTCACTTCCCCCTTCAAATCTTGCTCAATGGGCTCTAGTTTGATCCCAAGTGGCACCAGGGCCAGAACGTCAGGGTGTCCATCTTTCATTGCCAGACATTGAGGCCTTGGGGTGTAAACCTATGTCTGATTGCTGTAGTGTCCTTGGGAGTAATCCCTTAATTCCGAGAGGTTGTGGGGACAGAGGCCTCTCTATTGGGCCGCGTACAGTTTGGCAGCGCTGGACCATCAAGCAATGGAGCATGCAAGGGAGTATTTTCGGGCAGTGCAGTCTTTTCTCCAGGTTTGGCACCAGCACGTTCTCATTTGGTAAGATAGCACCGCGGCAGTTTATCATATCATTATTATGACGGGTGGAAACAAGTCCGAGCAGCGTCTGTATATGTAATTTCTGACATTTCCTAAACCCCAGGGCCAGTCCTCTCCCAAATGCGCTGAAAAGGGCAAAGACCTCCCCCACCAAGGGCCGCCTAAAAAAAGAAGAGCGATTCTACCCAGAGGTAGTGGAATGGAGCACTAATTGCAGAGAGGAAGTGGACATCTTTGCCTTAAAGACATCCGCGCATTTGCTCTGGTAAATCCAGCATAATATAAATGACCAGTTCTCTAGTGCACTATACCTCACTTAGTTAGACCTTGATAGCCTGCATTCTCTATGCCTTCCCCCAAATTCCACTTATTGATCTGATGCTAGACAGTCCACCAGGGAGGCAGCGTTCTACTGCTAGAAGACCCCAGTCGTCATGGGATGCTGTGATTTCCAGGGTTTGTGAAACTGCTTCATGGGGAGTCATGGAGCCTCCCAAGGTAACCTAATCTACTCTCTCCTTTTGACTGTTGCATTGAGCATACAAATGTGAATCACCCTCTTGGGTTTGTCTAGTCAGTTATCCACACTGTGATAAATTTGAGGAGCTCCCTACAATAGGTCCACTATGAAAGTATTTTTTTAATCTTCAAAAAGCTGCACAGTACATGTTGAGGAAGCAAAGAGCTGCTTAGTAGCCATCAATCTGTATCCATCATCGTCATCGTTTTTTGGAGGTAGTTCAGTAAGCAGAGCACCAGGTGTGCAGTATTCAGTCCACCAGCTTCATCTGAGAAGGCAAAGGAGCCATCAGAGCATTTGTGCCTGGTTCAGGTGCTCACGGTCTAAGGAGGCCACTTACAATTTAAGAACGATCAACTTTTGATTTTGAATAGGGGTTGTAAGAAAAGTCCACCACTGACAGAAAATCACCTGCACCTGGTACCAGGAGGTGCCCATCTATGTGGAGTGTGTCCCCATTCTAGGCAGCCTCAGAAGACCTCTGTGCTGCTGCCACCTGGCTGTCTTCATGTAACTATTACCGTGACTGCTCATCATGCTACATCAACGGAAATCCTGTCCACGGCTTCCATTTCATAGTGCGGTGGGCACTCCTTGGGACCTTGCTGGTGAATTTGTACAGTGCTAAAGCACTGGTGGTCTGGAAAAAGGAAGTAGATTTAGAGTTACGGACATAGTGGGATGGAACAGATAATGCAAGGGCATTATGGTTTTGTACTGGTCCTTAAACCCACGTCATCTCATGGCCGCATTGTTGGTATGAGATCCTGACCTGAGCATATGTCTAGGTCAACAGTGATCCAGAATTCATAAAACTGTAGCAACTTTTCATAAATCTAATTTTTTGAGATTTCCCTCTCCACCCAAATTAAAAATTTCATTGTAAATGAAGACGTCATTGTAGAAACAGTATCACCATCACTCTGGATTATCCAGGGGAAACTTCTTTTCTATAATACTGTAAGCACCACAAACAAAATTCCATTCACCTCCATTTCAGGGGCCCTCGGGCAGAAAACATTAAGATCTTACCTCAACTAAAATTAACAAATGTCCATGGCTAGATAGCACAAGGGTTAAGCGAGAAAATGCTTTGTTTTTTATTTGGGTGGACTGACCCTTTTATAATATGCTGAGAAATGTCAATCTCATAACAAGGGCACACTGGCTGACAATTAATCAATTGGCCTTGGATCGTAACAGTTTCAAGAAAATCCTTCAGTGTAAACAATCATTTTATGTAATATTGCTCCCGTTACGGTAGATCAATATTTTAGTAATGACTTGAACTCCGTCTAATTGAGGGCAGTATTAGGGTCCTCTGACTAACCAGGCCCACGAAGGAACACTTTCCTAACCAGCACCCAAGTGATATCCTTGTGGCCTTCTGAAAAAAAAATCTGTGTCCATGCGTAGTGTGGCTTACGGTCAGTATGGTCCTCTGTAGGCCAGGTTCTATCTCCTTGACTTGTTGTTTAATGCCTATTTGTGTATTCTGTGATATGCCAAGGATTTATTCACACTATTGATTGTAGAAGTGAGTTTTGCATTAAGCTTTTTAACCACTGACAGAGTACTTTTATTTGACTTGTTCAATACGCAAGGGAAACCATCAAATTGCCTGTTGTTGCCATGTATGCACCTGTAGAATTGTGTGCCCCCAGACTCTATTATTGGAGTTAATATAAACTGTTGTTTAGTCCAGAAAATATGCTATTTTATACCCTAGATTAATACAGAGATCTGTTAGTATATTTATGCTTTTTGTTGGTCCAGAACCAGCAGTGAGACTATTGTTATGTTTGCTTCTTCTAAGTTGGGGAAGGCTTTTTGTCTTGTTTCTTGATGGGAGGCCATTAGTACATGGCCCATACCTCTGCTAACAGTTGTCTGTGTTTACCTTTTTATATGAAGAAAAAAATAACATAACAGGGTAAAGTGAATGTACCTGAATGTTTTCAAAACCCCACCAAAAGTATATATACAGTATATGCTATATAGACTTATTCCATGGATAGAATATATAGATATATTGACAAAAAGATACACATAAATATATATATATATTTACATAGAGTAAGTAGTGAAACCGCTGCTGTGTTCTGTCCTAGTGGAGAAATAAAACAAGATAAATATATCATTGCCAACACCGGCAACAAAAGCCATGTAAATCTGTCCTTATGTGTCTGACACAAAGGGCAATGCACTGATGTCTAAATGTCGCACTGAGTGGTATGTATGTCAAATGCCATGTTTGAGTGTCCATCAGTGAACTGTCCTTTGTTTTCAGGCCTTCAACATAAACCAGGAATTTACACACTTTAGGGGTCAGACTCTTTTCTCCTCATTTAGATGAGCGTACATGACTGTCACTGTTGGCACAAGTTGGAAAGTGAAAAATCCCACATTAGGTGGTGTGATGTGTTTGACTCCCTTAAAATGTTGACTGTGTCCACAAAAAAAAAAAGACTGAAAGTGTTTGTGTTAGTGACTGTCCGTACCTGGAAAACTAAATCAATGAGAATAAAGGTGTGCTTTGTTGAGGAAATTGTGACTGCTCTGTTTATGCGTGACTGTGTAAGTAAAATAGCATATAGGCATTTTTCCAGGTTATCCGTCTGGTCCTGAGGTTGTGGTATCTCATTATACCCACTGGGACTTTAGGATTAGCTGATATGATTTTGATGGTCAAAGGTCAATGTCACACCAGTGGTGCGAGTCCTCGATCACTCAGAGAGGCGTCGCTAGAAAATGTTCGCCCACAAATCCCTTGTTTTCCTAGAGTGGGGCGCTCCTGGCATTTGCTTTGTTCTTGCACCATGTTTTCTTGTTGTTCTCAGCCATAAATATACATTTTCACTCAGGCGGTCAATCCAATCGCCGCCTTTCTGTTCTGATACCAGTATGTCCTGAAATTTCATATGGGATAAAGGGGGCAAGTGGGATTTCTGGACTGAGCGAGTGAGTGGGCGCATTATTCCTCGCTTCCTGCCCACCTTTTCTCCTGATTTGCTTTGCCAAAGCGTTTAAGATATGGCCCACGTGCACAGTTCTTAAGGTATGTACACAGAAAGTCAATCACAGCCAACATTGAGGGATGGGGTACTATGTTGCAGGACTGACACAGACACGCTACCATTCACACTCACATTCAAACTCCTATGGGCAATTTATAGTGACCAATTAATCCCCAAACCCCCAAAGCTAAGTACTCCGAGCGAACCGTAGACTCCACACAGAAAAGCCGCTCTCTAGTTTTGAAACCCAGCACCTTCTTGCTGTCAGGCAACGGTGCGAACCACCACAACACCGTGCGCCCCTAGTGTGTGTAGGATAAACTTGTTATTTTATAAGAACGATTGCAGAGATGCGTATGCTTTTTGAAAGAAATGAATGTAATAATGAAGCCATGCCGTGTCGGTGTTCTAATTGTAACATTTGAACTTCGTGGCATTCTGAATCCCTCCAAAGGGGTTGCTTTCTGCCCAACACATCAATAGTTGTGCTGCTCGCTCTATGGGCCTCATCTACTGTAGCAAACAGGACTGCTTGAGTGAAGTGCTGATGCAGACAGAGTATTGTCCCGGTGTATTCATCAGAAGACATTCAGAGCATGGGAATCATTTATACTTCATTCTGGAAAAATGTGAGCAGGACGTAAGGATCAAGCAAAGTGGGCTAGCCAAAGGGCTTTTCAGAGCCTACATATGCCGTACCTCTGCGCTCCTCCCCTCCCAACCGTCCTTCCATCTGTCTGTTTCAGCATCAAAACATTCAGTTTCTACAATTTTGTTTGGACACGCACGACTGTGTCTCTCCTACTTGCTAGAACCACACATGAACTACAAAAACTACCTTTGAATTGCAGCCCGATAGTAGATTGGAGCCTGATGAGGTTCAGAAAAAGGTTTCTATGGTCCGCAACGAGCACAAAAACAATTGTTACATTCCTTGTGAAGGCGTCATATTTGATGGATGTAGATGGCATTAGAATCTCCATTTCCCCTCTTCGCTTTGCACGATGCATTTAGAGCAAAAGAAGACACTGAACCACTCGTCCGATTCACAGACAACAGAGACAAATAAGTTAGTAGGAGGGTGCGTTTTCTATTTGTTTCCATGCCGTCAGGACCAAATGCTGTGATCTCTGCAGAAGGCCCAGCCCTTGTAGTCATTGTCACACCAGTGAGGAATGCAGGTCCTGAGCTCTAATTGATTTGGAGGCAAATTACCCTGTATCAAAGGTCAAAGGTCACTTGTGGTTCGATTCCTGCTGCTACTCAAACAAACAACAGCACCGAAAGAGTAAAAAGCGACTCCCTGATACAAAACCAGCTCAGCAAGGTTTGCACCGACTCCTCAACTTCTTAAAACTGCTTTCATGGACTCAAAGGATTCAAATGAGAGTGAACCTACTTCAGGTGTCTTTCAGCTCTGGTGGAACACAGATGAAGCTGCAACATCAGTACATATCGGGGCCCAATCTACCACCGCCATCGCAGGCGCAGATAAAAAGGAAAGCTCTACACGCTGATGCATATTTCCCTTTAATCAGAGCTAACGTGTACCGAAGCCGTCACACTGTACTCCCACCTCACCGTGGCTCTCAGGGGGACAGGGGAGATCAAAGCCTACCCCCCACCTACTCCACCCCTCCTCGCTGCTTATACATGATCAGTGGAAGAGAAGGAGAACTGTTCTGTCTTTTTCCTTTTCTTTCATTGGGCCTTCAACACTACTGCAGCTCCAAGAAGTGTCAAGATTGAGCAAGATAGCATTTGTATCCATGTACCTATGTACAATCAGAATTGTCTTTGCTTAGTGTGTGTACTTGTTAAGCTCTTTAATTCTGACACCACGCAGGGAGACGCAAACAACTGGGCTCACTGGGAGACTGCCAGGAGGAGATTTATAGGACAGTAAAAAAATGGCCCGAACTGACCACAGATGTTCTCAAGAACAATTTAGGTGGGGTGTAATGTGAGTGCAACATGCAATCATTTGGCTAAAGGGAGCTTCACTCCTACCTTCTCACTTCCCACTGTTCATGCTTGGTTGCCAGTCTGCCGCAATACACTAACATCCGTGAAGCCTCTGTCTGCACGTGCGATACGTTGGTGATACGTGTGCACATTTATCAAAGTGATTTTACGGTTTCATCAAAGATTTATCAAGGCTCATGGATGTCAGGACTTAGATGTACAAATCGCTAATCCCACATCTACGAACTCTCCCTCTGTTTCTCTCTCTCCTGATCTGGAGATATGATCCCCCTTTCCCTTTCCTGCTGCCTCTCGGTCTCGGGTTTCAAAGCGCCCCGTGTCTACTCACCCTCCCAGATTAGTCATCTAATGAGCAGCAGGGCTGATCAGGTGAATAATTGATGATGAGCGGCTGGAGAAGGCATCGATCCGAGTCGGGCTGAGGCTCTAAATTTGAGCAGGGATGGAGACACCTCAGGAGGATGAGCAGGCGCAGGTACATCACTGGATGGGCATAGAGAGACACCTCTGAAAGACGGAGGCCTCTCAAAAACTTGCAGATCACCTTTTGATGAAACTCAACCCCCACATTGTGGAGCAATGTTCGTTCTGTTGAACCATGTTTTGTGCAGTTTTAAAATGATGATGATTTAAAATGACCCGGAACTGTCGAGGGGACCAAAGTGTAAGAATCATTAGGCTTGTGATGCACAGATCAGCACCTATGATGACTTGACAAGTCAACGTTTATTTATTTGTTCAATATTATTTGCTCAACTTCTGTATCTGTTTAGGTGCGCGTTAGATATTTAATCCCAAAGATTTTCTTTTCATAGACCTAAATCTGGGGTTTTCTTGAGAAAAGCTCTTTTACTGAACCTAACCAAGTAGTTTCAAAGAAGAGTTCAAAGATTTTTATTGTCAGTTACACACGCCCTGTGTATTGAAATTCTTGTGCTTGTCTGTCCCGAAAGCCGACCAATTTTAAAATTAAAATAAAAATACAACATTTACATAAATGTACATGAAATAAAAATAAAAATGAGGTAAGGATAAGGCAGAAATTAGGTAAGGAGGAAAAGTGCAAAACTGAGCAGGTTGTAAATTAAATTAAATGAAATGAGTGCAATATAAATTAACAGTACAGTAACAGTAAGTGAATCCTAACAAGCTTAAGTGCAGACCAGTTGTGGATTAGGTTATAGAGTCCTATCAGTGGTTGTTGGCTCTAATGGCAGTGGGGAAAAAAGAGTTTTTTAGTCTGGTGGTCCTGCATTTGGCACTTCTATACCTCCTGCCTGAGGGTAGAAGCGTGAGTAGTGGAGCCCAACGTAAGACCAAAGTTTATTTTGAAGACTGTTTGAATTCAAAGAGCAGAAGTATTCCTCTGTTAATCAACATTGATAACATGAACTGTTGAGCAGACTTTCTGCTTTCCTTGTCCTCAACCAGCTGTTTGTCATTATTCATAACATGCGATAAAAAGACACTAATAATATTGAAGTCTTGCTTGACACTTTGAGAAACCCCTAAAAGTCCTTCTGACAATACGTACTAGCAGCAGTTAGTCATCATGATTATTGCCGAGATAACATGAAGGGTTGAATGGTAAAGTGAGATCCCTTGGGACTGAAACTTCCTTCTAAAGATGTGATTTAGTGTGCAGAGAGCAACTCCTTGCTGGTTCATAGCAAGTATCTTAACCAAACACACATCTTTCTCTGTTTCATTCCCATTCTGGATCCAATAGTCTCTTCAGCATGAAAGGTGACGGTACAGTTAGCTGCGCCAAATCAGACGTATGCTTTTGATTTGTAGACAAAATGTTTTTCTGCCCAAAGAGCAAACAGCCCCAACTTCATACCTGGCAGCAAGTGCTAACACAAAACAGTGAGATGGAGAGAAGGAGATTGTGTTGCATCTGTCCTGATTTAGAAATAAAAGTTTTTTCTTCAATGGGTATATAAGCATTGAGACTGCATGCTCTACAAGACGAGCTTAATGTATGTGTGTGTGTCTGTAGACAAAATCAGGACAAGTAAGTAACCCCCGAGCCAGCATGCGCTTTATTCCTGTACATCTCTCAGCCCTACGGAGTCTATGTTGGACACCTTGTTCTGACATGGAGCTGATAGACAGCGTGTTGGTGACATTGCTCCAAGTTCGCCGGCCTCTTTGCCTCCATGTCGCTTCGGTGGGGAATCCGCTGCGGGGTGCTATTCATTGCCTTTTTGTCCAGATGGTCAAGAGCTCCCAGGGTGCAGCGGGGTAGGCGCCGTTTGCCCAAGGGGGACTCCTGCCATCTGTTCCCATCCTCTCCTCTCTTCTCAGATAACTCTATGAGCCTCGGCCCGCTCAATTTAAAAGGCTCCAAAGCTGTTTGATTCGCCCCATTCAGTGTTTCCCCTGGAGTGATGGGCAAATAAAATCAGCTCACCTTATTGTCAAAACATCTGCACCAGGAAAATATGAAAAGGTTTTTATTCTCTAACGACAGGTCTATTTTACCATTGCCCTGTCCTCATTCCTTTTCTATTAGCTTCTATTTGTGCTATTTGTGTTTGTG